GCATCTCCCTGTCGCCGCATCCCAGATCTTAACAGTCGTGTCATTTGACCCTGAGGCGACGAGCCTCGAATCGGGCGAGAACGCGACCGAGTAGACCCAGCCGCTATGCCCCTCGAGCGTCTGCGCGCATGGACCCCACTCATCTTCTACAGCCGGTGCGGTGGTAATCCACTCCAGTTCCTCATGTTTAAACAACTCTCTTGTTATGCAGCGGACAGGGCTGAACACAAGTGCTGAAGCGTATACCTGAAGAGGTACTGTATCAATAATCGATAGACTGCTCAGAACGAATCGTCTTATATCGCGGAGAAATACAGATACTTCGGTAGCATCTCCAGGCTGAAAGGCGGTATTAGTATATATCGGAGATGGGGACTAAGGGTGCAACATACATCGAGTAGGGCTAATAAGTCGTCTACCATGCCAATACTCTCCGAGATATGGCCTACAAGCCCGAGCGCTTCAAGCCAGTAAAGGAGGTGGCTCTTCAAGAAACTGTGGACCGAGCCGTCATCCCATACAATGCCTTTGCTCGCCTTCCAGTGGTGGACCCAGTACTGACATGCGTACTGGACCTCGGGTGGCAAAGAGACGTCGACGGTTCGTTGGTCGATTTCCGAGCGCGGTTTCCCCAGCACTTGCAGATCGCAGATATCTCTCTTGAGGTGTTGGCGCATAAGTTGAATACATCTATCCGCCAGCGTTCGGTGATGTTGTATTTCGTCGATCCAAAACTCGTTGGCACGCTTGGTTGGATCGACAAGGAAGTCGCGGAAAGACAGGTGGAAGAGTCTTACAGGAGCATCTATTTCTGGGGGAATTCTCAGGACCGAGTGGAGAGAGTTGAGCCTGCCATATATAGCTTTAGGAGAGATGATGAGAAGTCGTGCGAGCGACGACACTGAGAGCGGTTGGGCGAGGAGAACAATAGGGCCAACAACATCCCGGAACTCGGCTAATAAGCGGCCCCTCTGTGGCTCAGCACGCCCGGCAGTGAGCTGGTTGAGAATTGGGAGATATGTCGCGTCGAGTTTGTCAAGCTCGGAATTATGGGTCTTCCGCTGATACTGTAAGACTTTCTCGAGCTGACCGGCGGGGTCAGACCACACCGGATCTTCGACAAAGCGGCAGACGGTTGCGGCAAAAATGAACAATGGAACGGCCATCTGAGCGAGAGTCCGAATGACGTGTTCGCCAGGCCAGTCGGGCGGCAGACTTAGGTCTCCGGGAGCTTGGCTGTTGTAATCGTTCCTAATTCTTGCGAGTGTGTGTCCTAAGAATGTAGATATATCGCGTTCCACAATTGGCTCCGGTATTTTGTGTAGAGCCAGGTCCTGAATCTTTCCCTGAACGTTCATGAATCCAAGGCGAATGGGCAGCTCAGGCCGGCTGGTGATGAAAATCCTCAGTCGCACGGAGCTCAGTGTCTTTGCTTGTACTAGCAGGGAGATGATGGTCTTTACGTCATTGTCTCCGTCACACTCGTCAAGAGCATCAACGACGATCAGA